ATGCTGCACTGGCCCCGTCCCTGGGCGCGCTGAGCCAGCAACCGAGTCCAGGCATGGTAGCATACACCTGTAATCCCAGTGCTGGGGAGGCTGAAAACAAGAGGTTCCCTATGAGTCTGAGCTGCATAGTGAGACCCTGTACCAAATACATTAAAAGAAAGGATAGAAAAAACAAAGAATGAAGTAAAAGTCACTTGTAATTTTACAGTGTTTTCTCTCTGTAATCAGAATTTGGAGGTGAAGGGTAAATGTTAACCTCTGATGCAGTGGAACAGCTAATCTGATGAGGTGTTCATATGCCAGGTGGTGTTTTGAGTTTTTTACACATACTTACGCATTTAGCTTTCAGAACAGTCCCTTAGACTTACCTAGAAGTACTCAGCCAGGATGGGTGTGGGTGGTCCTGAGGACTCTCAGTGGCTGTGGCTGCCCCAGGGAGGGGTCTTTGCTTCTCAAGCCAGATGTGCATCTTGACCATGTCAGCACATTGGCCTCGGGACTGGCTTTCCTACCTCCTGAGCACAACAGCGTCCGCCGGGGTCGCCTCTCCTCTTCCTTCTGTCTGCCCCTACGAGAGGCTGGAGCAGAAGATCTAGGGTCCCTGGCATCCGCGCCTTCCATCTGCACTTCCTGCAGCCACAGCCCCAGAGCCCTGGGCCAGAGGCCACCCTGGGGCTCAGCGGTGAATGGTCCACACAGCAGGACCAGGATGTATAGGAACAGGCTCCACCCTGCCCCAGAAGGCACTGCCCTAGCCCTGGCCCCAGTGCCAGCTGTGCCTGTGACACATGCCTCGTGTCCCGTGGGCCCCGATTTGAGACAGTCACTGAAAATGATTTGGATCCCTTAAGAGCACATGATAACAGAATCAGGAATGGGCTGAGGCCAGCGTGTGAAATCAGCACACCAAGACAGGGATGTCCTCATAGTGAGAAAGGAAACCCAGGGTCTGGGGAGCTGGCTCAGTAGAATAAGCGCTTGCATGGCAAGTCCAAGGGCCTGGGTTCAATCCCCGATTCTGCCAAAAAAAGAGAAAGGAAACCCAGGTGCGACCCAGCTGGCTAAGTGCCACCTCTGACCCTGGAGCATTTCTGTAGCTTCCTGCTGAAGAACAGCTGCCCCCAATGTTACCTTGAACACTGCTTCCAGAATGGGACTCGGATTGACTCCACCTGTCAGAATATCCTTGCATCCATCCATGCAGGATTTATCCAGGCCTGCTGTAGGCCAGAGGCTGGAAATTTAGCCACAAACAAGACAGGAAGGAAAGAACACTTTTCCCTTGTCTCCTGGGGAAGGAAAGCAGCTCAGCTCAGCAGAATCCCAAATCCACCTTCATGCCAGGTGTGCCAGGTGAGGCTGATGCCCAGAAAGGGCTGGCATGGCCAGTCTCTTTCCCCAGGAAAGTCCTGGATCCAAAAGAAAAGTGTGCGGGCTGGAGAGATGGCTCAGTGGTCTAAAGCACCTACTTGAAACAAGCTTGGCAAAGCACA